GGGATCCCCGCCCCTAACCGTCCCTGTCCAATCCCTCCAATACCTGTCCCCTGATGGCCCTGCCCCCATCCATACCCCGCCCCCTGACAGGCCCCCCGGGACTCCCACCCCCCTCCAACCGCCCTCCGCTTCTCATCCCCTGACCACCCCCTCCCGGGATCTCGTCCCCTGACCGCCTCCCGGGACCCCACCCCCTATCCAACTCCCCCCGCTCCCTGTCCCCTGACCGCCCCCTCCCAGGACCCCCTGCCCTAACCGCCCCCCTGGAACCCCAACCCCTATCCACCTCCCACAGCCCCTTTTGGAATGTGGTCCTGCGAACATGGGTGGAGGACTCAATAGGAGCAGGAGCAGCTGCGCAGCTGGAGAGAAGCCGCGGTTTCCCCTTCAAAGCGCCGCTTCTCTCTGGCCTGCTGCGCAGCTGCCCGGTGCTCCTCCTGAGTCCTCTGGCCGCGTTCCCTGCGTTCCTGCCACCCACACAGCCTGCCTACTCTCCTGCCCCTGCAGCGCAGCCCTTCCCCCCCCGTGGAGGGTGTGCCGGTGCTGAGCTGCCCGAGTGCCCGGCCCTGGGGCCCCCTGTTGTTGGGGGGCCCCATGCCAGGGCACCCTGTGTTCACTGTTAAATCTGCCCCTAAGCCGCGCCGCCCAGCCGGAGCCAGCCACGCCGCCGGCACGGTGAGCTGAGGCTGTGGGGAAGGAGGGACAGCAGAGGAGGGGCCGGGGCCAGCTGGGAGCCCAGGGGCCGGGCAGGACGACCCCGCAGGCCGGATGTGGCCTGCAGGCCATAGTTTGCCCACCTCTGCTATAATGGAATGAGGTCTAAAAGGATGATTGTGACAGGCTCTATTGTATTTCAAACTAAAATCAAAACTCAAGTGACAGAGGGAGGCCAAGTTCAGTCTTTGATGGGACAGCTGCATATAGAGTCCATTACATGTTGAATAACTTAGGAACACAGAAAAAGTAGCATCATGTTGCTAATGGGGAAGGACAGAAGGAGAATGATCAGCAGAGCTGCAGAATGAGAGATGATAGAACTGTTCTGTAAATTCCTAGTTTAAGTAACAGCTACATAAAGTAGTTACCAGCCATTTTCTAAAGATAGTGTCTAAAGATTTCCATCACTGGAAATGACGATTGGATGTTTTTCCAGTTCAAAGAAATTAATTAAAGATAGTTCTACAGCCTGTGTTATACAGGAGGTCAGACTAGACAATCACAATGGTAATACCCCAGTTTTTACCTGGTTCTCTGTTTCCATCCCAGGATTCTGGTTTCCGCCCTCCTTCAAAGCGGGGAAACTCATCTGGAGTGGGAAGTAGACCCTTTCGGCCTCCTGCGAAGTAAGAAACATAGGACATGAGACACTGTACTCATTAACTATATTAACAACTTCAGCGCTATTGTCACTGACTTTCACATGGGTTTCAGTTTGGAAGAATGTTCACTTACCTCTCGGAGTACCTCGACCTCGCCCCCGACCACCATGATCTCGTCCTCTTGAGTTCTCATCTGATGAGTTAAAATTGTCTTCCGGCCCAAAGTCTTCTGGCCCAGGAAAACTATCCCTTCCCCTGGGTCCCCGCCCCTCATGTCTTGAGGGTGCTCCTCTTCTGAAACTGCAAAAAAGAACATGGTACAAACACGGTTTTTATGCAGAATTTAATCACTAATGAACTAAAGGGTCATTTTCAATTTAATAATTAAACTTGTGTCTGAAATGTTTACCTACTATTGTTACAACATCTACAATTATTAGCACTGGAAGAGATTAGTGGGGAAAAAAACTTCTCATTTACTCTGTGCTTATTCATTTTCATTGTTTCCCCTCTTCAATTTCCTCCTGTTGTTTGTTCAGTCTTTCACATAGGAACAAGGAAGAGAAAAAGACTGACTAGACAGGTAGACAGTGTCCATTTAATGAAAAGTGAAAGGTTAGGGAGTGATGGTGGGTGTGAGTAAAGAGAGGTTCAAGTTCAGGGCCAATTTTTTTTTTTTTCAAAGTGGGATGAGTGAAATTCCTTAAAATGTGATGTGCTAGCACCTGTATTTTTTTAAAAAGCCATTTCCTTAGTAATGAAACCAAAAGTAAAAATACAAGTAACAAGAGAGTCTCATTCCATGGCTAGATAGAAGAATTTTAATTCCTGAATCTTACTCAATTTGGTTTCTTTTTGCTGGCATAAAATTATCTAAAATTTATACAGCACCTTTTATCCCGAAGGGTCTCTGTAAGATTTACAAATTTAGCAACTGATTCTGGAGTGCAGCCACCTCTGTGGTGATGGCAACTGTTTAACAGTGCATAGCAATATACTGCAACATGAAGAACAGTTTATTCAGTTGAAATACTGGGGGAATTTAGTCTGGCAGAATATAGTTATCCAAAATCATTTTGGTCGGGGCAGTGAAGTAACACTTCCTTGTAAGACGTACCAGGGGATCTTTACTGATTTGATGTGATCAGGACCTTGATTTACATCTTATCTTAAAGAAGCACAGTCACCATGCTGAGATATTAATTCAGAATTTCTTCAGAGAGAAGAGTGTCTCCTACTGCACCACTTCTTGTAGCATCTAGAATCTTGTCTAGACACTAGATAATTTTGCAAAAACAACGAGGAGTCCTTGTGGCACCTTAGAGACTAACATTTATTTGGGCATAAGCTTTCGTGGGCTATAATCCACTTCATCAGATGCATGGAGTGAACATTTTGGTATTTACAGCACCTGGAATGTATGTAAAACACTGTGTCCTTGCACAAAGGTGTTTGTAATGTTTCGCACGTTCTAAGTACAATTCCAACAGAGTGCACCAGCTCAGTTTGTTGTAACTGTTTCAGTGCACACCAGCTCAGAATAGCTTCTGTACCAGCATAAATGAAAAGTTTAGGTGGTGCAGCTATTCTAGGTTCAATTAGTGCTCACAATGCAGTTCCACAATACTCCTGGCCACCCTGCTGTGATGGCTCTGACAACTCAGAGCATTGTCTCTGCCCACTTGTTAACACGCTTCCAGCCCATCCCAATTCCATACCAGCCAAACTGCAGCAGAGGTGGTACTCAGACTGTCTTGGCTTTGTGCAACATCCCCTTCCCCCATCTCATTAAAGACACAGTGCATCCTATTACAAGCAAAGCTTTAAATACTTTTATTTAGGATTTTAACAACAGTAACCTTATAATTACAAATTTAAATATTTGTAACAGTAGTCATAACACAATACAATATTTTTAAACTTGGTGATACATTTTTTTTAAATTAACACAATAGATCTCCACCTCCTGGAAAAGACAAACACAATACAGAGATGAGGAAGCTGTGCCTGGAGTGGTACAGCAGTGGTTGAAGGGAGTGCTGTGCATGGACAATGAACCATTTTACAGTAATTTAGATTATTAGGGCAGACAAACTGAACAGTTTCAGGAACAAATGGTTCCATAACACTTAGCAATACTATTTAACCTTGGAACAGCACAGTTCTCTAATGTAGACCAATCCTACGTGTTCTTTAGAGGGTCTCCCATTTAAATACTGACTAGGTTGTCTGAAGCTGTTTAGCTTGTGAGATCTTATGATCACAAGACAAGGTCCTATGACAGCCAGGATCAATGCCTTACTTCCTGTTTTTCAAGCAATTTAATGGCCAAAGAATTCAGTTTGGAGTTCTATCACCACTATGCTGGACACAGTCATAGCCCCTAATTTGGGCTCATAAATACCCTTTTTCAAATCACAGTCACATATGAAACTCTGACTGGTGTAGTGCTCAGTTTCTGTTTGACAAGTCTCAAATCCTCTTTCATGAGACATAGGAACTTAATTTACAGAACTACACACTGTGCAGAATAACAGGAAAAAAATAGGCAGGTCTCTGCAGCAGAAGCATCATGTTGATGTGCACAAGTGGAGTAGAAACAGGACAGGGATGAAAGGACAGGAAACCAGAGAGAGAGATAAACACATACATACCACTCATGCATAATCAAACCAGTTATGGTGTTTAAACTCAAAACTAAATGGAATGAGTGGTTTGGAATTCTTGGGATCACCCCATAAAATCTCCAGTATTTAATGTCTATTTCACCTCTTCACTTGCTCAAATAATTTAAGTTTGCTAATCATAATACTTCTTACAGTTCTATGATGATTGCCTCTAACCAACTGTAAAAATGTTCTCTTATTTTGATCCCTGGTACTGTGACAATAGAATCTTTCCCACTTCAAAGGTCAAACTTACAGGTCTGCAGTTTCCTGGACTCTTCTCTTGAGGCCTTTTTAAAATCAGAATGACACATTAGCTTGTTCTCAGTCCCCGACCCTTACTTCCAACAAAGGGTTAAAACCCCCCAGCTACAACTATAGTTTAATTTAGTTTGCCATCTCTTTCAGAATTCTGTGATTCAGACCATTCAGCTCTGGAGTTCTCTGTTTTTAGTTACTCTAATTTATTTTTAAAGGTGTTCAGAGGTTACCTTTGTTTAGTTATTGTTCATTTCTTTTCATACTCCTCACACAATAGGAAGGTACATCTTACAAGTTAGGTAGCAAGTAGCTAAAAGGAGAGCTGTATAGGTGTAAAGTAAAAGGAATCTAAGAAAATTATTTAAAAAGCCAACTAAAAGAGAGGATTGTACATTATGTGAAGACAACAATAAGTTTTTACAAATATATATATGTGTATATATACATATGCAGTAGGTTAATGAGAGGTTTAAACCCTGAGAAGCCAAATTCTGCTCTCAATTATACTAGTGTAAATGTGGAGTAACTTCAATGTCAGTGAACTTCACAGACTTTTAAGGAGTTATTCCATATTTAGTGATTAACTAGAAGCAAAACTTTTTCCTTTGAGGTTTACTCAGGGCAACTTGGTGAGTGATGAGATGACTATTGCTAGGAAACTAGATTATTTCTGTTTGTGTTTTTCACCTGGTAGTGAGAAAGAAATATGTCAGAAAGCGAAATAAGACTCCTAAGAGCAAAAACATGAGAAAATAGTCTTGACAGTTCAAAAGAGGGCGTATCCATGCCCCTTGTACTTGATAGTAGGTTCACTGTTCCTGCTCCCTAACTGTATATTACATCTCACTCAGATACACTCTATACTCATGCTGTAGTTTGTGATTGGAGGCAAAGTATCAATTTCCATATCTAGTGTTCAAAAGTTTGTCGCTTCAGTGTGGAAATCTCTGACTTTCCAGTTTCCTGTTCACTCTTGTCAATATGATCTCAAATCTTCGGCCTGCATCACCCGATCTTCTCTACAGATTTCCTCCCTTCTCTTTACTTACTGTATACAGGCACTGAAGCTGTTGTGTGCAATGACCTTTTTCAAGTTCTCTTCTATTACTGAATGATTTTATGGACTCTATACTCGGGTACATTAGAGTTTTCATTTCCTTATTGGTTTCCAGTTTATAAATCTGAAATAGATAGACTCCTTATGAAAAGGAAACCAGGGAGGAAGATCCCCTCCAGTTACCTTTACCCAACAGCACCAAATGAACTTGTTCTTACCTTTCATCCCGTCTTCCCCGGAATCTTGCATCCTCAGGTTCTCGCGGATATCTCTCATCAGAGGGTCTCCGTCCTTCCCAAGGCCCAGGAGGGCCACGATTTGGGCCCCCTCCTTCAAAGTCCCTGTGATCAGGGGGAAAGGGAGGCCCTGGGCCACCTCGTCTCCATTTCTCATCTTGTAGCAGTGGGCCGCCTCGCCCCTCAAATTCACGCAAGCGGTGGCCAAATCGCTTATCTGGATGAAAATCATCTGGTCGATCAAAGTCATCATGAAAATCTGGGTGAGGTCCTCGTCTATCAGGCAGGCCCCTGTTGTCCCTACCATCACCCCACTCCTGGCCACCTCGGAACGGCCCTCTCTCAGGACCATGATCTGGACCACCACTGTTTTGGTCATGCCTTCTTTCTGAGAGAGGGCCCATGTGATGGTTTGGTGGGCCACGGTTGTCACCTGAAGTGAAAGACACAGCAGATTTCTGTGATGTTTTCTAAAAACATTCCAGGGAATTTCTAGCTTTTATAATTCTATGAAAACACACATTAAAACACTGTCAGCCATTTGTTGTAAGGTTTTCCACCATATTCTTACCAGAGTCCTGAGCATACCCCCCAGGTGCACCTACCCCACATGCTGTGTTAGGGCCTCATACATTTAGAGGCACCTCACGGGATGTGACTCTCTTTGGAAGGTTACTTAAGATGTTTAGTTACCTTTATTAGGGCCAGGTCCTTGGTTGTGAGGGGCAAGACGGCCTTGTCCTCCCTGCTGCCCCAGTCCTGGTATCAATGGTGGGGGACCTGGGTTCTGTCCTTCCTGCAAAACCCAAGAGGCCATGAGGTTTCCATGTATTATACACAATATTAACTCTCAAAATTACAGCAAGAGGGCAGTAACAAATTTGATAAATGTTACATACAGTGGACATCTTCATAGATCTCCAAATGCTAAATACAGAAACATTCATGGATCTTGTAACCATTTGATTCTAATATCTTCAAGTAATCAAATGGGGCTACTTGTGAAGTAAAGTGTGCTACTCAATGTGAATAACAGTGTGTGTGTGGGGGAATAATGAGTGAGAATGTAATACCTTCTATTGGTTTGAAAGGAAATTTAAAACTGAAATTTTCAAGCTGACATAAAAACATGTTCCAGGTTCAAAGTATTCAACCATTTTAAGCAGTAACAGTGTATTTACATTAAAATGTATTAAGAAAACATCACTGACAGTGTTGTAATAATTGAAAGTGTCATCACTGTTATTAACGCATAATAGTTTAATGTGTAACAGAGACCAGGACAAACCAACTCAAAGAGGCACCAGACCCTGCCAGAACAGATGCAAAACCTACAGATATATTTCTGCTGCTACGATGATCAATACCCTCCACAACACACCGTTCAAGATCCATGAGTCCTACACATGCTTATCACAACATATGGTGTACCTCATCTAGTACATCAAATGCCTAACAATTATGTGGGTGAAACCAGACAATCACTATGCTCTCGAATAAATTTACACAGAAAAATGAGAACAGACAAAAGCACTTTACTACCCGAGGGTGAACACTTTTCACAAAGTGATCACCTCACAACTGACGCCTCAGTCCTCATCATCAAAGAAAACCCACACAATACCTTCAAAAGACGAGCCTAGGAACTTAAATTCATAACTCTGCTAGACACTGAAAATCATGCACTCAACAGACACACAGGTAGCGTGACCAGCTTTTATAGGAACAGTCCCGATATTTGGGGCTCTCTCTTATATAGGTGTCTATTACCCCCCCCCCCGGTCCCAATTTTTCACACTTGCTTTCTGGTCACACTACACACAGGTTTTATGGCTCATTAAAACAATCTGTAACTAACTAACCCTCCTATGTCCTATAACTGCAGAGGTGTTAATTGCCCACTTCATGTTAACTGGTCTCCTGAAATGTGTTATGCTTAATTTACCCCACCTCATATTGAGCTGTAATACTCTGGTCATCTTTTCCAGACCTGAAAAAGAGTTCTGGGAAGCTTGAAAGCTTCTCTTCCACTCACAGAAGTTGGTTTAATAAAAGCTACTACCTCACCCACTCTGTCTCTCTCATATCCTGGGACCAACATGGCTACATCAACACCGCAAGCAATGTATAACATTAACATTTCTGAACTTAACATTGCATAGTTAAGTACTGAGAACAGTTTTTGGTATTTATTCATACACAAACACACATGACTCTGCTTATTAGCAACCCTTCGGAGGACAGCAAAGATTGCCATTATTCGACAGTTGCTAATAAGCGAAAGTCAGGTTTGCAGGGTTGCATCCAGAGATGGAAGTGCTGGGATATGCTGATACTGGGCCCCAGGATATTCTGCGGGCAGGGCCGCAGTGGGGAGGGGTGCTGCTGCCCAGATACTGGAGCTTTCTATGGAGAGTGGGGATGCTGGGGGTCCATGGGGCTGTATAGTACCTCTTCCTATGCTCTCCAGGCTGCGTCCTGGTCTGGCATCTGGGGCACGGGCTTGACTTGTCCCAGCGCCCCTGCTCCATATGGAAAGCAGGCAGCTTTGCAGGGCTGCCAGCTAGGGAAGCTGGGACACAGCTACAGCCTGCATCCCCCTTCCTCCCCCCCTAAATATATATAGACACATATGTACCTACACACATACGTACATACACACATTCTTCTTTTTTTTTATTATTATTATTATTAACACAAATATATTTACACACACTCAGTTTGATCCAGCACCCACTGAAGTTAGTGGAAAAACTTCCATTAATTTCAATGGATATTGGATCAGGCCCTCTATTTGCATTTTTTTTTTTCTGCAAACCAGCAAAGCTTCAAAGCCCTGGAGACTGTGGCTCCTTTATTGGTTTTACCTCCACTCCCACATATACATAAAGAAGTACACGTGATCTGTCTGTGGCCATAAATTCGTGATCATAAAAAAATCACATCACAGATTTGTGAAATCTGGTCTCCGGCCGCCCAGCTCTGAAGGCAGAGTGGAGAGCAGCGGCTGCTGGCCAGGTGCCCAGCTCTGAAAGCAGCACCGCCGCCAGCAGCAGCACAGAAGTAAGGGTGGCAATACCATGCAGCCACTCCTCTCCCATTCCCCAGCTTCGGACAGCGCTGCCGCCAGCAGCAGAGGAGAAGTAAGGGTGGCAATAACGCAACCCCTAATAGGCCTGTGACCCCCTTTTGGGTCAGGGCCCGCAGTTTGAAAAACACTGTGGAGAAATCACACATTTTTCATGGGTTGGTCACAGCATAAATAGCAAATTTCACAGATGTGTAACATATCTGCAAAATTTGCTAATTATGATCAACTCGTGAAAAATGTGTGATTTCTCTGCAATTTAAGTAGACCCCCCTAACAATAATTCCATATGGGGATTCAGGAACAGGCACAGTATTTCAGATGACTCTTAACTTTTTTTAAACTGAGCAGTAAATCCATGCCAGTTTAACGTTTAAAAAGAAGCTGTTTAGTCATATGACGACAAGTAAAAATCTACAAAAACGGCTTGTGAAAAGCACCACACTCATTTCTCAGAAATGGCTAGATGGAAGTTTACAAAAATTTTCCTCAAAAAAAGTCACCTGAACAGCTGAGAATAAGTATGAGAAATTTGCTTAATTCAACTTTTCTGAATTTTTTCTCGGAGGCTCCCTGTTTTCAAGAGTTCAGTGTGGGGACTCCTCTGTCTTAATTAGATAACGGATTTATTTTGAGGTTAAATATTTTCTTGCCAGACATTAATTCTACATCAGTATTAGTAATCCTTCCTTCTCTATCTTTATTATTGCTGTTTCAAGCTATATAACTGTTTTCATTAACTCACAGGTAATGGTGCTTCATTATTTTCCAACTGCACTTACCCTTCGGAACCCCACCTCTTGCTATTGAGGGTTCATACTGTGTAACTAGAATACTCAGCATATCCTTCCTACATTCCCAACACTTTCAGCATTATGCTGACTCAGACGTACCTGACTGAATGGGACACGAGGCCCATCACCAAGCAGAGGGGTTTTCTGCTGCTGGAAAGGTAGTGGACCCTGGGGAGGATGTGACCCCCTTGAAGGATTCTGCTGTCCCGGAGGTCCCGATGGTCCTTGCATACTTCCTTGAGGCCCAACTAAAGAGTTCTTTGGAGGCCCCTGCTGGCCTTGTGCACCTGGTGGCCCACGTAACTCCTGTGGAGGTCCTAACATTGAACCTTGAGGTGGGGGTCCCTGTAGGCCCCTCATCTCCTGGGGACCATGTCCGAGTAAACCACCCTGCATGTGAGGTCCTCTCATTTCTTGCGGATGACCCATCATCATCCCTTGTGGAGCAGGTCCCTGATTATCACGGGGCCCTGGTGGACCCTGCATCCCTCTTGGATTAAGTCCCATCAAAGGCCCTTGAGATATAGGGCCCTGCATCCCTTGAGATCCTGGACCTCCTTGCATTCCATGAGGAAGAGGAGGCCCTTGCATTCCTCTTGGACCAGGTGGCCCCTGCATTCCTTGACCACCAGGGGGACCTTGAGGACCTAAGTGACCTTGCGGCCCTAAATGAGTCTGAGACCCAGGTGGACCTTGTGGTCCTAAGTGACCTTGGGGGCCAGAATTACCCTGTGGACCCGGTGGCCCTTGAGGCCCCATGGGCCCATGAGGTCCAGGATGTCTCTGCATTCCTTGATGCCCATGTAGATCCTGAGGCCTTGGCAGTCCTTGCGGAGGTCCCTGGGGACCTGCAGGTCCTTGTGGTCCCATGAAGCCTTGTGGACCTCCAGATCCTTGATGTAATGGAGGACCTTGGGGTCCCATTTGTCCCTGGGGTCCTCCAGGTCTGAACTGTCCCTGTGGACCAGGGGGTCCCATTTGAGGCATATTCATTGGCATCTGCTGAGGTGGAATGGGCTGCTGAAATCCTTGAGGCATCTGCGACATTGGGCCTTGTCCTGGGAAAGGCTGGGGTCCATGCAGAGGGCCTCCTGGAGGTGGTGCCTGCTGCTGGACTTGCTCAGCTTGCTTTTGTGCAAGTCTCTCAATCTTCAGTTGCTGTCAGAAAACAAATACACGTTTAAACAGGCTGCACATACATGTATGTAGAATTACTGGAAAGCAGACATAATCATTTCACTTTTGGGAACAAGGGAACTCTGAACAAAGCTTTAAACACTTTTAACCTGACTGATAAATAGAGATACCATTAAAAAGAATAAGAACTCAACAGGATAAAGTTAACTGAAATGCTGCCAACTCATTATCAGTGTCACAATAAGACAACCTCATAGTTTGGTGGTCAGGTTCAGTATTTACTTGCCCTTATTTAATTTTCAATTTATTCCAGCAATGCTTTTAATTATACTCACCACTAAGAAGTTCTATTTTAATAATTTTTAATGAAGTACACCATATATTTCACCTAACTTCTCCTTTCTTCTCTACAGTGATTAACTCTGCTTTCCACCACTTCCTCTTTTTGTCTTTTATCCAAGCACACTCACTCGGTTGGTATTTGCTATAGTTTAACTTTCCTTACATACCTCCAAGAGCTGTGGGTTGGTGTACTGAAGTGCTGCCATTTCCTGCTCGATCTCTGCCTGTGTTTTCTTTTTCTCCTCCAGTTTAATATCCTCCTTTCTGTCATTCATCAGCTCAGGTGGAGCAGGGATAGGGACCTTATTCTGCATCCAAGCCTATAAGGGAAGTGAAGATATAAAATCAAAATACTTACTATTTTAGGTAGTAACCTTGGATTTGAGGGATTTAACCAAATATTTTATTCTCAAGTGTTCATGAACTGGAACTGGTCTGGTGTATTATTCTGCACTGGATATTGATCTATAGAAGCTAGAATTTGGAGTGTTGTATCAGGTACAGGCTATTGATAGTTGGGCTAAAATCAGTTTAGTCTGATGTATCATTGTATATCATGTACTTACCTGTTGAAACTGTGCTGGGATTGGTTTTGCATAGGGCACTTTTTTCTGTGGCACTTTCTTTTGGTCCTTTTGCATCACCTCCTCCATTCCCCAGTCCAGCCCTGGGATTGTCATCTCAATTTCATTTGACTCATCTTTCCCTTGAACGTGAGGAGGAACAGCACAGTCAGCATACAAAGGAGGATGAAGAAATCTTGTTAATTTTTTGAGTCTCTACTTAAACAAGGGGACCAGGAAACCCTGTTCATTTCCATCTTAACATTGAAAACATGTACTACACAGAATGTCAGAGAAGTTCAATGTGAAAGAAATACATCACTTTCTTTCTCCTCAGGCCCCCACGACAGATGAGAAGTATGAGAAAGAGCCAACCAGTAGCTGAATAGCTTATGAAAATGAGCCTGCATGCATCATTTCTCCCTCTTACCCATCTGCTCTTGTTCCATGGCTAGTTTCAGTTGCTCAGGTATTCCCATCCCAGGAATCACTGCAAGGCTGTTGGGTTCAAGGTCATCTAGAGGTGGAAAACAAATAGACTGATTTCAGCAAGGATTTTAGATCAGTAATGTCTTTCCTGGAAGTTGTCTTATTATTTGATACAATTTTTGCATACAGTTAGATTCCCTACATATTTCACAGATGCTGGGGCACACTTTATCTCACTCATGAACTGCAAGATATTAAAATAAGACCTAGAAATTCAGAGATGGAAAACCACGCATAAGACTACAACAAATGTCCTTTCAGCAAAGCTGCTTCTGTGAAAGAGACTGGGGAAAGAAACATGCTTTCCAATACAATTCCCTGTTGTACTTTCATAAATATAGATAAAATGAAAAATTCATGGAAAATTTTGATCTAAAAAAATTCTGGGACACAATGTAATCAATTATCTGAATGAAAAAGACAAACCCATGGGACAGGAGGGGAGATGGGCAACCCTGGAAGACCTGACATTGCCAAGAAAAAGCCTTAAAAGAGGAAAAAGACTTAAGATAAAGGAATTTTGAGTCCAGTTCAATAATTTAAAAGGTTTTCCTGTGCTCTGTAGCTCAGGATTGTGGGAGATCTTGAAGTCACATGCTGAAGTTTTCAGGAGGCAGAACAAACTGGGAATTTTCCCAGAGGGAGAGCCAAACCTCCTTCCTGTGATTGACAGAGCTGGTCCTACCTCCTGGAGCTGCAGAACAAAAGAAAACTCATTGTTGGAATGGGGACCTAGATATAATGGAGAATGAGAGATTATCCCACTAAAAAAAATCCTCATCTACCCAGTCACCACTGCTATTGTATTTCATCATGTTACCCAGAAACTGGATTAGAACTGTAGCTAAGTGCTCTGGGCTTGCTCCTGACACCAACCCTCCATTCTTCTGAATTCATGGCAATAGCCTTACCATATTCCACGCCATCCTCTGACATTCCTGGCAGCAGGTTCAGGTTGTAACGATCTCTCATTTTATCTCCAGGCCGATTTCGAGTCCAGAATTTGCTGTCAAAATAAAATAAGAGTGTGATATGAACTTGCGGAAAGTGTTGGGAGATTCATTATTTTTAGTTGCCATATTCTCTCTTCCTACTTTTGCATTTTATCACAATATCTTGATTATTTAGATTTTCAAGGCCTTATTCATCAGGCTCCTATTTGGACTAAACATCAGGTATGATTAAAAAGTTACTCAACTCTCACATTCCAATATGTTTAAAAACACTTAGATTTCAGAGTGGTGGCCGTGTTAGTCTGTACCAGCAAAAACAATGAGCAGTACCTGTGGCACCTTAGAGACTTACAAATTTATTTGGGCATAACCTTTTGTGGGCTAAAACCCACTTCATCAGATGCATGGAGTGGAAAATACAGTAGGGAGCTATATATACACAGTACATGAAAAGATGGGAGTGCCTTACCAAGTGGGGAGGGTGGGGAGGTTCTAATGAGAAACTGCAGAACTGGAATTAATTTGCAAACTGGACACCATCAAATTAGGCCTGAATAAAGACTACAAAAACTAAAAACTAATTTCCCCATGCTAATTTCTCCCTACTGTTACTCACACCTTTTTGTCAACTGTTTGAAATGGGCCACCCTGATTACCACTACAAAAGTGATTTTTCCTCCTGTTGATAATAGCCCACTTTAATTGAATTGTCTCGGTAGAACTGGCCCCTGACTTAGTAAGGCAACTCCCATCTTTTCATGTACTGTGTATATATATCTTCCTACTGTATTTTCCACTCCATGCATCTGATGAAGTGGGTTTTAGCCCACAAAAGCTTATGCCCAAATAAATTTGTTAGTCTCTAAGGTGCCATAAGTACTCCTCATTGTTTTTACTTAACAGATAGTCGCTGTGAGAACTGAAGAACTCTCTGTATTGACAGACTGGACACAAGACTGCCATACTCCCAGTCCTCTTCAATAGCCCTTGCTATTCTTAGCAGGTACTGATGGGCTATCGTTCTTGTGACATGCACTTCTGTGCAGATTCACTCCGCTTATAAAATATAACTGTTGCACCATTTATAGTGTTTCCATCCTACAAGATTTAAAGCACATCACAAAATATATGCTTAGAGCACCCCTGTGGGATGGAGGGTGACATCTGATTAGCACAAGACTAGTGGATGGGGCAGGTGTTGAGAAGAAATATTTTCTGTCAAAGACAACAGAAAAACCTCTCAAAAGTTCCATATGATATTTTTGTGACCATGGAGGTCTGGTAGGCCCTCACATTTTAAAGTTTCCGCCAAGAGGAATGAGAGGCTAGACTTTAATTCTACCTTATGCTGTAAAAGGGTCAGTGCTTTTCCAAACAGAACACCTTAGTCTCTCTCTGCATCTTTGCTTTCTTAGATTTGGGTTGTTCCTGCTATCGAACCAGCCATCTCAGGCTTTTTCCCAGTTTTTAAACTGTGTGTGCCCCTGAAATATTTGTTTAAATACTTGAAAATACCTGGTATGGTCATTTGAGCCTGAGCAGAGAATGTGTCCAAGAGGATGCCAAGCCAGACTCCAGATCATTCCCTCATGGGCCATTTCCATTCCGCCAACCTCCTTCTCCACCCTGAAACATCACACAGAAGAACCCAGTATGAGGGATTTTAAAAAAAATATACATTTATTTTGCTACTCAGTTGCTCATAGATTTCTATACATTGCTCATTTCAGGCCTCAGTTATTTTTCACTCATTTAAATCTGCTGTTCTGGGACTCTCAGATAACAATAAAGATTCAAGTGGTGACAATATAAATTATGTTTACTATGATGATATCTAACACTGCGTGAACTACATTTCTCCATGTTGATGAAAAAGGTACTTACCCAACATGCCAGAACAACAAAGAGCCATCGGAACCTCCACTGGCAAAAAGCCCTTCATGAACAGGGTGCCAGGCCACAGCTGAAATCCAAAAATTAATAATCAGGAATCTCTGGTGAATGTTAAACTGTACCTCAAAGCCTTGAAAATGTGTGCCTTTAATCCCAATTCACTCATAACAACGGTAGTATGAAATGGAGTTCATTCTGACCTGTGGCCTCTTTCTTGTGACCCCTGAAGACTTGGAGCTCTTCTTTCAGGTTTCGGATGTCAAAGAGCTTGCAGAGATGGTCACGAGATGCTGTAAGCAGCCAATTCCCATTCAGGTTCAACTTTACCTCCATCACTGTGTTTTTATGAGCGTGTCTGGAAGTAGAGGTAGAAAAAGACTAACTGGCTAGAAGTCACACATTCCCAATAGAATAACCTATGTGCTTCTATACAGAGGGCCTGGGTCTATGTTTTAAGGTTGGCCTTTTGATCCCTGTACGTATAGGACCTGGAGGTACACACAGAGACATGTTTCTCATTACTCAAGGATACAGGGCCGGCTCCAGTGTTTTTGCCGCCCCAAGCGGCAGGGGGGAAAAAAAAAAAAAAAACCCCCGCCCGCCGGCCCCCCGGCAGCAGCTCTACTGCCGCCACTTCGTTCTTCAGCGGCAGGTCCATCCCTCCGAGAGGGACTGAGGGACCCGCCGCCGAATTGCCGCCAAAGAGCCGTATGTGCCGCCCCTTTCTGTTGGCCGCCCCAAGCACCTGCTTGCTGCGCTGGTGCCTGGAGCCAGCCCTGCGAGGATAGTAACTTCTGCTGGTTTAATTAGGCATAAGTTTAACTAGGTACCAACAGTAGCTCAGGAGAACTCTGGTGACATGAGGCTTGTGAACAAGTGGAAAGACAACTTACACAAGGAAGGGATAAAAAAGGTCTTCAGATCAAATTATGTCTACCCTCTAGATTTCCTGACCCGACTAGAAGGCCTGCCCCTATTGCAACTGTTACGTATGGTTGAAAAGACCTGGTCCTAGAGGGGGGCAACTGAAAACAGAATAAAATAATCAAGAGTCCAAGCAGTTTTGCCCCTTCTGACCTGAGCAAAACCTCAGGTCATAACTTACAGTGTGGCAAGGCTCTGGCCAGTTTTTGGATCCCAAAACTTGATAGGCTGTTGGCTGTCTTTGCTTCCTGATACAACCAATCCCTTTGTTGGATGCCAGTCAACACACTTCACATCTGCCCCATGCCCTGTTGGGAATACAAGTTGCTCATTTAGGGATTTCAGAGAAAAACTATTTCATGAAATTTTCAGTTATGTAATTTGTGAACTAAAATCCTGTCTAGCCCAAAATGGGATGAAAAAACACTACAGAGCATGGCGTGATCTTAAACTCCATAATGCTATTTAAAAATAGCAGTCATTTGTTTTCTGTATTGCATTACACTCCCTCCTTACAAATAACTTGAAATAGTTTCCTTCTCAGCTTTCACAGTCTTTATTAGAAAACACAAAGTGGATTCCACCTATTTGATAACTGAAGTTTCAACTGGGCATATTTTTAGACTTTGGTCCTAAACCATTGTGTAATGTTATGTTAAACATCTCAGAAGTGTCTGCTTTGTAGTGGTAACGCAAAGTACACAGTTACATATTACCTTGCTTTTGCAACTTTTTGGGGAATAAAGGCCCTTACAATATGAATGTAAGCTATCTATTAACACCCACTACTGAAGTAGTATTGCAGCCCCTACAGAAAATAATAGGCAAAAGAAATTAGACCAGATGACTGACTAAGATGATTTTTTTTAACCTGTTAATTTAGTTTCTCAAAGTCCCTTACACCAGCGCAGATAACAAATTCAGATTTTCCTAGCAGCAAATGAAGATAGGAAAAAAAGAAAAACGTATGCTATCATTTCCCTATAATTAGATTAAATGAGCAAGGTCAGCCAGAGAATCTGTATTGCTTAGGAAATACATTTTAAAATCAGACAAGTTCTCAACTGTTATTCACAGCAATATGGTGAGGTATCTGGGTTGGAATATAGAAATTTGGAGGGAAAAAATAAAAAGGAAAGAATAATTTCTTTCTACAATATCTCTCTATACCAGCCCACTTAGTGGGAATGCCAACAGTAATGTTCAATGCCAGAAGAGAGAGCAGCTGGGTAGTTAGGGAAAAAGTGAGCATATGCTTTCTGAAGGCAGCTAGTGACTTACTTTCTAAGCTCTACAATTATTCTGAGATAGATATATAAACCATTCTCACATCAGATGTATGAACTTTCTGATTTTTGTGGGGCTGGACACAATGAGAAGAGAAAATTTTCTTGACTCCAGAGGAATGGGGAAACCACCTTGGGGAGGAAATGGGGAACAGCTTTAATCACTATTTTGTCCAGACAAGGATCACTGCAGTAAAGAGCCTTACCCTCCTCCCTCACTCTCCCAGCAGACAGAATTGACCTTCCAATTTATAGGGCCACAAGCAAGAGCACCGTCCTCAAGCTGCCAGAGCTGAAAATCTGGTCACATGTTGTCCCTACTACCAGACAGGAGTCTTGTGGTGATGGTTTCCTCCCCACCCGATTCTGCTGGGAGAGGCAAATGAAGCAACATCTCTTTGAATATGTTATGTCTAGGTCTTAGGTCCCAGGTGAACTGCATTCTAAACAAGGGTTTAACTGGAATAGCCCACTCTGTCAGAACCCAGAAGGCCCACTCTATATTGCAGCCAAAAGGGGCCAAACCACCCAGACAGATGTGTGCCCTGTGTAATTGAGGCAACTCAGGGTGACCCTTGGTGGACATTCTCATTCTTTAACTACCAGAACAAAAGAGGACTTCAGCTCCAGAGGCAAGGATAGGCTGGACAGAGAAAACTTGGACCGAGGTAATGACAGCTGAATAGTTAATGCTGGGGAGATCATGTATTGTATGAAAACATGCTGACAGCAATGAGTTCAAATACACCATCACAGAACCCAGAAAATGCAGAAACATGCAGGCTAGCTCCAAATTTTACTAGAGTTGGGTTGGCCTCTCTTGTTCCTAAAATAATCAGACTCAGTGAAGTAGGAGTACTGAAAGGAGACAAAGGGCTATTTTCTCTTTGATCAGTAGGGCTTAGGATCCTGAAATCTGGATATGCGACTAATGAAGTCAGGCTTTTCTTTGAAGATTTCATATGCGTTAGGACATTTTCAAAAAGTTTTCCCTCAAAAGACAGACAGACAAAGGCAGTTTTAGATGCAAGATCATCAGCTCAAGTTCACAGCCACAACACCTGGAAGGTGGTAACAGATATGGCCATACCGTGGAAAAAGCTTGCATAACACCACAAATAAGTTTAAAAAAAAAAAAAAAGGCTACTTGACAGAAGGAACAAGCCTCAATATCTTCCTCAGACGCCAATTTCTGTAATCATCTTACCAAGGTCCTGGCCACATAAGCCATGTAGCACAGAGAACCCAAAATACTCTAGTATGTTACTCTAATATGAGTAGCTTGTCCTGCCAATTCAACAAGCACTGGGAAGTGGCCTCAAGAAGAGACAGTTTTGGGGTATAACAGGAAAGTCAGAATCTTAGGGACAAAGAGAACCACATCAGACTTATCCCTTGAGAGGGCATCAAGTCACCTGAAGGATCTAAGGGATTGCAGTTTCTTGTTGGGAGCAGTCCAATCCATGCCCAACATGGCCTGGACCAGAGCAATAACTGGGAAAAACTTGAGTGTCCTTTTTATGGCTAGTCAAAATAGCCCCTACATCCCTACCTTCAGGAGCGTAATCTTTTAGACTCTCAGAGCAGGTTACTTGCCTGGTTAGCAAAGTCAGACTTTGGAGGAATCCAACTAGCTGTTGGAAGGGATCCCCCCATTCGCCCTTAGCTACAATTTTCCCGGGAATGGCGCCAATGAATGTGAGGAGAAAAAATAAACTCTGCTATGACAGCCATATATTTGTAACTAGCTAATCTTGAGAGATGAGGACCACCGGGGTGGGAAGTTTTTAAAAGAAAAATGTAAAAGCTAAAAATCTAGCTTAATCACTCAGAAGATTAGCAAGCAAACAGTAAAACAACTGATCAGGGTCATTGAAACAAGACTCCTTTACAGGGAATAAGGGCATACCTTGCTGTTTTCCTCAGTCTGCTGATAGGGAGATTTATGTCCTACTGTCTGTGCTAACATAGTGGGTTGTGGAACAAAAATGTGTTTTTATTTTAAACACTAAAAGATAGTCCAGTGGTTAGGGTACTGGCCTAGGACTGGGGGAGACCTGGGTTCACGTTCCTGCTCTGCCATAGACTGCCTATGTGATGTTGGGGAAGTCACTTATCCTCTCTGTGTCTCAGTCCCCCATCTGTAAAAAAAATGGGGATTATAGTGCTTTCCCTCACAACACCCCTGTGAAGTACATTTTACATTAGAGTGTGAAGCACTAAGATACTATAGGTACCTAAGATAGACAGACCTTTTGAAGGATTTTAGACTTGGTTAGCGTGTTCAAATCCTTGCATGGTGAGGTTCAGTATGTTAATATATTGTGCTTTTATGGGAAAGATGGATACTTTCAGACTTAAATTGCCCCCCTCCCCAAAAAACATTGACACATATAATAGGGAATATTAAACATACCCTCCTTAAAAAAGAAAAATACATAATGAATGTGGTAGAAGTATTGCAAAATTTAATATTCATATACTTACAAATTCACATAGTAAAAGGAGAAAATATATGCAAAAATGATCTGAAGATTGCTATAGGGAGAATAAGAGACTTTGTATAATCTAAACACACTTAAAATTATGAATTAGTGTGGGAACATGAAATAGTCTAAAACCTGTTTTTACATGGGCAAAAATCTGATGGATACAGCTTGTTCAAATTTTATATTTATTTTTTTGTGTGTGAAAAATATTGAGCATTAGTCAATCCCTAAAGAAGCCTAGATGCAAAGCAGTTATTTCTATAAGAATTCTTTCTACAAGTGGAATAAAGTCCTGATCCATAACTCAGAGCTGATTGAAGTAAAGGCCTTAGGTGACCAGTTAAAACATTGGATTATTAAACATACTTCCACCCAATACACTTTCAGGATTGTGTTTTTAAAAGATGAAAACTGCAACAAACTATAACTAGATAGGCTTAACTGCAGTAGTGTCTGATTGGTGACATGCTGTATTTGGCCAATGTGAAGAATTGTATAATCTCAAATTATTGAAAATTTAATGATTTCTCCTACCCCTTTTTTTCAGATATGACTTATTGGACATTATACCAACAAATAGAGTATTACCCATTTTTTTATAACTATTTATAATGTGCCTATATATTTTGTATTACTTTATATATCTAAGTTATAAATGTGAAATGTATGTATATTGCCTTCAGTTTATTACTGTGACCAATCGTTTGCTATTTCTTCCCTCCTCCCCCCCCCCCCCACCAAATTACAAACTTTTAAAAATGTTTCACACTTAAGGAGAGCTTTATACATATGACTTTTGCACATATTTCTATATTCCCCCCCCCACACACTTTAGCTCAATTTTTAAAAAAATATGCATATATAAGTGAATGTTTTTCTGAAGCATCTTATTTTGCTTATAACTAATTACCTTAATCAAAAAACATGCAATATTGCATATATATTGTAAATACTGAACACTCAATTTCACATTTCAGTACTGTCATAACTGAACAAATTTGTCACAAGACAGTACAATTTATTTTACACTTTAAAGGAAGTTTTGGATTTTGTTTTTTCTTTAAATGGTAACCCTGCAAAAGCTCGATCTTGCAAGGTACCAAGTGTCCTCCATTCCCATTGAAATCAGTGATAGTTGAGGCCTCTCGTTGAGCACCTTGCAGCAGGTATCCCCAAGAGAACTAAATCTCTTAGAAGAAAATGAACACATACACTGTATAATTTTATCACCTCACACTTCATTTACTAATAGTCTCCATAGTGTTAGGAGCACTATAATGCTGGAGGAGCTGAATTCTAAGATGATTTACTGTACCAACACCACACCTGTTAGAGGTTTTCGGGATACTATCCTTTGTAACCTGGAGGTTACTCCTTAATTTATTAGCCCAGCACTGTCAAGTAAGAGTATGGGTTTTGTTCACCAAGAGAATGCACCTCATATCTATCAAAAACCCTGTGTATTTCTATTCTGAACTGACATTTATTGTTTGGTAATATTGATTGATGTTACCAAATCAGTGAGGGATGAGA